CCTAACATAGCCAAATCTCCAAGAAGCAATATTGTGTGGAGCCCAGCCCTGTCACTTGCTATATACATGACCACAGGGAACTCTTTCAACCTTCCCTGGCCTTAGGTTGTGATCTAGTTGTGATGTGAGGAATTTTTTTATAGGTAGAAGAGGGAAGGGAAAAACACATAATGGTACCTGCATTTCATTCCTGTAGGAAACTCTTACCATTGGAGAGTTGCAAGTTTTGGGCAACCTGTGATCTTAGAGAGCCGTCTGAGGCACTGGGAGGTTGTTTTTCCTCAGGTCACACAGCAAGTATGTGTCAGAGAGGGTCATGGACCCACAACTTTCTGATGCTGTCTATTCACTATGCTTTGCTGCCTTCTCTTGATAATAATGACCTGAGTATAATTAGTATTTCTGGGTGGGTGGGGGGAGATAATTTCTCATTTTTAGAGATGTCTTAGAGATCATTCTGGAGTAGCCTCCTCATTTTTACAGATGAGGAGGTTAGAGGCAGCTAATAGCACAGTGGATGGAGTGCTGAACTTGTATTTGGGAAGGCTTGAGTTTGAATCCTGCCTCAGATACTTACTAGCTGTGCCACCAGGGCAAGTCACTTAACCCCTCAGCCTCAGTTTCCTCATGTGCAAAATGGAAATAATTACATCACTTACTTGACAAGGGTTGTTGTGAGGATCAAATGAGATAACCAGTGTAAAAGGTGTTGTAAATCTTAAAGTACTATTAAAATGCTAGCTAGTAGGAAACTGAGGCTCACAGAGATGAAGTCAATGGTAGCAAATAGTAAAGTTAGGATTTGAACCCAGGTCTTTTGACTCCAAATCCAGTACCCCTTCCACTAGACTAAGCTTTTTCAAGTTGTCTACATTATCTGCTGATTTGTACAGGTCTGGAAATGTTCCTTGCTGAGACAGATACTTGTGAAAGAAGAAGCTAAGAGATGAAGTCAAAATCATCCATTCATATCACATCTGGGGCCTTAATTTAAGGCAAGAATCACTGCAAGCTTTAAGAAGCCTTGACCTTCAGGGACCTTGATTTTTGGAGGAACGTTAAAATCTGCCTTTCTTAGAGCTCAGGTTTTTTTTTTTTTTGTGTGTGTGTGTGTGTGTTTGTTTTTTTTTTTGTTGTTATAGCTCCAGCACCTAGCATAGAAGCCTGCCTATAGTAAACAATTAATAAAAGCTTGTTAATTGAATGAAAAAACATCTGCCAGCAGAATTATGGACTTAAACATGCCAATTCAGTTCAACAAGCACACATTAAGCCTACATGCCAGTCACTGTGTTACTCTAGACAAAAACCAAGGAACCATTTCTTGTGTGTCCTCGATGTGCTCTTTTATTAAATACTGTATATACTATGGCCAGGGCACGTTGGGGATATGACCAAACAAAACAGTCTCTGCCTTTAAGGAGTTCACATACCAATGGGGAATATAACAGATACTTGCAAGGTGGAGGTGGAGGAGAATGCAAACAGCTGGGGATGGAGAGGATCAGAGCTAAGGCTTTATGCAGTAGGTGGTGCTGACCTAAGCTTGAAGGAAGATGGGGATTTTGATAGTGGAGGTGAGGAAGAAATACTTTCTGGCAAGGTACGTAGATGGGAGATGTAACGCCAAGGGCAGAGAACAGCTAGATTTTAGGTTAGCTCAGCTGGGATGTGGAATGTGTCAAGGGGATCCATGTGAAATAAGTCTGGAAGGTTAATTGGAACCAGACTGTGGAGACCCTTCAACACCAGGCTGAAGTTATTTTAAAAACAGATATAGAGGATTTAGGGGACTTGGTTAAGGGCCTTTGAGTGTTGAGTAATGTAGTCATAATGGATCCATGTCGGAACCAGGGATGCTGAATTGCAGCTGTGGTGGGGAGAAAAGGGAATAAGCTTTGTTAAGCACCTACTGTGTGTCAGGCACATGGTAAGCAATTTACCAACATTATCTCGCTTGCTTTGGCTGTAATGACAAAATAGCTACTACCGTCCTAGGTGGAAACATATTATGACTCGATGCTTCAAAAAAATTTCAATTTTATTTTCAGCTCCAAATTCTCCCCTCCTCCACCCATTGGAAAGGCAAGAAAAATAAAACCCATTACAAATACGTATAGACGAACAAAACAAACGTCTGCCTTAGCAATATTAAAAAAAAGCAAGAAAAAGAAATGACTGTGCGTTTAGAATAGAGGTAAAGAACACCAGGAAGAGACAGACCTAGGAGAGAATGTAGCCCACCCTTCTCATGTCGCAGGTGAGCAAAGAGACCTTTAGAAGAGAAAAGTCTCAAGTGCATCCTGCTCTTAGTATGGAAGATGGGAAATTAGGATCTAGGCCTTCTGTCTGCTGGTCCAGGCCATTATAATAGCCTTCCTCCACTAAGCATACAGGGTTCTACAAGGCTTCCTAGGTAAATTCTAGGGGACGTAAAATGAAGGAAAATAGGATCCTTCTCATGCTCAGGGCTATCAGGGAGCTGTCTCATTCAGTTCAGCACTCTGGTCAGCTATGTCCTGTGAACCTAGCTGAGGAACTCAACAATTCACTTGAATGTTGATTGAATTTGGCTGGTGAGAATTGTAATCATAATTCATCGTAACAAGATATAGATCAGAATGATTGACAATAGCCCAGATGTAGTGAGGGACCTTGGCCTTTTTAAGCTAAGGTATGTCCTGGGTCTCAGCTTGTCTGAGGCAAAGCCCATTCAGTGATTAAAGGCTAGGTAAGAATCTAGGCAGAAGACGGTCTAGTTTGCCTTCCTAAAAAAAAAAAAATCAATCTTGGAGGTGAAGACCCTCAGAGTTTCTGGCCAAAACAGAACCAATTGCTACTCCCCCTGAGCCATCAAAACTCCCAGAATGAGCAAGTGAGGTTTGGGCTGGGACCTATTATTGGCCAATCAGTGAAAACCAGAGTGATTAGGGTTTAAAGGCATGGTCAAGTAGCTCCATTTGATTCACACTGGCTTTTTAACAAAGCCTGGCTTTCCAAAAATATATTTCAAAAAATCATAAATGAAAAACTACAGGAGACAAAAGAGTTAACTGTCCCAGTTTTTTTTTTTAAATGACAAAATAAATCAATAGGGAAGAAAAAAATCCAGCTTCCAAACCCAAGGTAGTTTGTGAAGTATAAGCCATGAAAGTTTATATTCCTTTGGATACAGCTCCCACAAGTAAGGGTATGACTCCTCCAGTGTACAGAAGGAGAGGAAGAGGAGAAAGGCAAGAAGGCTGAAGAGGTGGAGGACAAGGACAATGATGACTCTGATGATAATATAGTTCACATTCATGTGGTGCTTTAAAGTCTATAAAGTGCCTCACAAACATTAGCTCATCTGATTTTCACAATAACATTATAATGTAGGTGTTCTTATTATCTACAAGGGGGTACCATATATTATTTAAAAGTATGTGAATTTGTAGATCAGTGTAGTACAAAAAGAAATGAACTTAAAGTCCCAAGATCTGAGTTCAAATTCTGGTTCTGTCACTTATTACCTATGTGATAATGGGCAAGTCACATCTTCCTGGGACTCAATTTCCTCAGCTATAATATAAGATAGTTGTATTATATGACATTTCAGGTCTTTCCCAGCTTTAGCAGATTTCCTGGCATATTTGTTCATTCATTTTTCAGTCATGTCTGACACTTTGTGACCCCATTTGTGGTTTTCCTGGCAAAGATACGGGAGTGTCTCCAGTTCATTCTATAGATGGGGAAACTGAGTCCAACAAGGTTAAGTGACATGGCCAGGGTCATACATATAGTAAGTGTCTGAGGCTATATTTGAACTCAGGAAGATGAGTCTTCCTGACTCTAGACCCAACACTCTATCCTCTGTACCACCCAGAAGGTGCTTAATAAATGCTTGTTGACTTGACTAAGAAAATAATGCCATGTTCCCATCCTCTGGAGATACCACCTCCTTTGAAACAACCTGATTGTAATGAGCACTAATCACATGACCTTGGCACAATGTTGTTAATTCCCCACAGAAGCAGACACATATGCTGAAAGGCAACATACAGTGTTTTGCTCTCAGCATAGACTTGGTAAGCAAATAAATAGTATTAAAACAATGAGACATAGTGCAATAGATAGAATTCTGGATTTAAAGTCAGGAAGACCTGGAATTCTTGCTTTAGATGTGTGATTCTAGGAAAGTCACTTAGCCTCTATGCTCCACAATTTTCTCACCTGTGATGTGAAGGAACTGGACCCAAAGACCTCTGGGTCCCCTTCCAGTTCTATATCTATAAATTACCAAGTGGCTGCAAGTCTGTTATTTGTCTGAATTCTGGAAGACCCCTAGACATAAGCTCATTGTGGACCTAGGAGTTCTAGATAACCTACAGTTTGAGTACTCCCTGGAGTGCTTAAAGGACAAAGGAATAGAACATAGCAGTTCCCATATGTCTGACTCATACTTCCCATAGGGCTGATCATCAGCTATAGGTACAGCTCAAATAAGGGGCTCAGATTGCTCACAGGATGGGACCAGACAAGGTCAGAGACTCCACCAGTGACCAGGTAGCTAAGACTTGGGGGAGCACCAAACCTCAAGGGTTCTAGGTTATACAAGCTCTTATATTGCATTCTCCCATCCTGTGAGCAATCTGAGCTCCTTTCTTTTTCCTTTTCTTTTTTTTAGGCAATTGGGGTTAAGTGACTTGTCCAGGGTCATACAGCTAGTAAGTGTCAAATGTTTGGTCTGAGGCCGGATTTGAACTCAGGTCCTCCAGAGTTCAGGGCCAGTGCTCTATCCACTGTGCCACCTAGCTGCCCCTTTAACAAGCATTTATTAAGAGCTTACGTTGAGCAAGGTTTGAAATCCATGGCCTTACCAAGTTCCTGGATGATAGAACTCATCACTTGGACCCATCTTGACTCCAGCCTACACCTTCCCACCATTTTATCATGGTGCATAATGGTTTCAGCATGATTCTGACCTGAATCTCCTCTTTTCCTCAGCTACAGTCCCTAACTTCATGGCTGTTGGAAATGGCACCATTGTAAAGGAGTTCATCCTGCTTGGCTTCACCAGCCACCCGGAGCTGGAGTCTCTTCTGCTCATAGTGTTTCTGGCTTTTTACCTCATGATGCTGCTGGGTAACCTGGGCATGATCACCCTGATCTGGACTAATCCTGGCCTCCACACACCCATGTACTTCCTGCTCAGACAGCTGGCTTTCCTAGATGTCTGCTTCTCCACAACGGTGTTACCTCAGCTCCTGGTGACCTTAGCCTCTGGCAGAGCTGTGCTCTCTTATGAGCAATGTGCTACCCAGTTCTTCATGTTCACTTTCTTTGGCTCCACTGATTGCTACCTTCTGGCTCTCATGGCATATGACCGCTATGTGGCTGTGTGTCAGCCTCTGCTCTATGTCACCATCATGACACCCAAGACAAGGCTGAAGTTGCTAACTGGGGCCTACATTGGGGGCTTGGCTAATGCTATTCTAAGGACCAGCTGCGCATTCTCACTCTCCTTCTGCAGTGACAACCAGATTGACTTCATTTTCTGTGACCTCTCACCCCTGCTGGAGCTGTCCTGTGGGGACACTTTCCTACAAGAACTCTTGATTCTGCTATTTGCTTGTTTTGTGATCCTGGTCAGCCTGGCCATGGTCTTGGTGTCCTATCTGTTCATCATCAGAGCCATACTACAGATCCACTGCGCTAGTGGGAGGGCCAAGACCTTTTCCACTTGTGCCTCTCACATGACTGCTGTTGGGCTCTTCTTTGGGACCCTTGCATTCATGTATGTGCGCAGTAACTCAGATAAATCTCTGGAAGAGGGCAAAGTGGTGTCTGTGTTCTACACTGCAGTGATCCCTATGCTGAACCCTCTCATCTACAGCCTGAGGAACAAGGAGGTGAAGGAGGCTCTGAAGAAAACTCTTAGTAGGCTTAAGTTATCTAAAGCTTTCCAGCATCACTGAATGAGCCAATTGAGATCCATCTCATCTTTGGCAACATCATTCTGGGCTATTAACATGAATGTCTGTGAGGAGTTAGGCTCTGTGCTGCCTAAGAGAGTTATATGAGACCTTCCCCTCAGGTACTTCAAATAACTCGGTGCCTGGATAGGGCAAAGATAAAGTTGCAGACTGAAGAGAGGCATTACCATTTGTTGGAGCAAAGGTAAGCAAAGCCAGCTTGAGGATTAATTGCATGATAGTAGGAATGGGAGAGAATTATTTTGTTGACGCTTGTAAAATGATGAAACCAGAGAAAATTGACATGGGAGAGCCAGTGACCAGAGGACAGGAATCAGTGCTCATATTCTGCCAAGACACTGGCATGGAGAGGTGGCAAAGATTATTGTGACTCATTCCTTCATTTGTAACACCAGTGAAAGTGATTCTGGAGGGCAGTGTTGTCCATCCAGTACTCAGTTCTTTCTACCCCCTCTTCCATTTTGGAAAGGAGCAGAGCTGAATCCTTCTGAGGCCCCACCTATTTCTTCCCTGGACAGGGCAGGGGTGGTTTAGGGTGTGACTTTCTCCCTGTCTCTCCTCACCTTTATCCCTCCCAACCCCTTTTTCTCTAGAGATTTAATCAGCTTCATCTTATTTTTTTAACAAAAGAGCTTTATTTTAGTCTAGGAAAAGTGTAATGGTTCTCAGGCCCACATTGTGTCTTTCTCTGCTTTTTTTATGGAGTTTATATCAGATGGAAAATTATTAATGCAATCATAATAGCACAGAGTCTCCAGTTAGAAAAATTCCCATCATTTGGATGGAATTTTGGCTCTATGTTCTAATATAAATTTGATATATATTGAGATAACTTTCTCTATTTCCCTTTTCTTGGTAATGAACTAACCAAACAATATGAGCCTTAATGACTGACCTTGGGTCTTATATGTGTGTGTGTGTGTGTGTGTGTGTGTGAAGAACAAAATGTGGAAGGGGGGGCTGAGAAAAGAGTAGACTCATTCATTTGGCATTTGCCTTATAAATTGCAGAGATGATTATATGCAGTGGCTCAGTCTGACTTCTTTGTTCCCAGAGGTCTGCAGGGACCTGATGGACCACTTGAGTCTCTCTCTTCTCTGGCAGCTCAGCTATCCTTTCTCTTTACTCATTGTTCCTATGTTGCTGCTTCTGTTCAGTTTAGCTCCTGGAGTCCTGCGTAGGGAGAAGACATCATGTCCTCCCCTGCTACTGTTTGCAGGGGTCTGTAGTAAGAACTCCTTTCTCTCACAAATGGTGCATCTTTTGTAAAACTCACAGCTGTGCCTCAAGTCTGCCCTCTGCATGGTTTGCTATGGTTTGAAATGCTTTCTCATAACTGAGAGAGAATGCTTATTCCTGTGAACTACAAATCCCAGAATGCCAGTCAATCTCAATATGCATTTATTAAACGCTTGCTATGTGTAAGGCATTGTGTAAGGTGCTGTAGATCTAGACTTTAGTGAAGATTTCTTGCCCTGAGGAGTTTGCAATCTACTTTGGGGACATAGCACCTATACAGAAAGATAAGATACAAAATATATATGTCTAAACACAAAATAATTTTGTGGATACAGTGGCAGAGAACTTTACAAACCTGGTGGTGGGGGAATCAGGAAGGGCCTTATATAGGAAACTTCCTTTTTCTAGCATGACAAACCTTTAGGGGCATGCTGGTAACTTTTCAAAATAAAGTTATTAAGTTGTTTTCTAACTACTCCCTTTGACTTCTTTCTTTCTCATCATGGTTATGGTAAATATGTGTATATGTACACACACATATATAATAGGATTTATATATTTATACATTATATGTTTTATATACTTATATACAAATGTGTGTTACATATTGTATATGGTTATATATTCTTTAATTAACTTATATATTGTAATAATTACATAAATGTAAATAAAAACATAAAAAGAAAATCACATTGTGCTGTGAAGCCCTTGTTTTCATATTTCTTTCACTCTTCATCAATTCTCTCCTATCCTTAACTACCATGAAGGTCTCTGGAGTTCAGAAAAGCTAGGTTTAAATTTTTGCTAAGACACTTACTAGCTGTGTGAACCTGGGCAAGTCACAACTTGTCTGACCCTTAGGAACTTCCCTTTCCTCATCTATGAAATGTGGATAATAATAGTACTTAGCTCCCAAGGTTGTTCTATATTTTGTTATCAAATGTAACTTTGTTACATTTCAAATGTAATGTAATTGCATTTTTCAAATGTAATTTGAAATGTAAGTTTTTGAAATGTAAGTAATTATTAACGTGCATCTATTTTTAAAAAAGGGTTCCAGTTTCATAAATCCACTTTAACTGAAGAGTAAAACATGTTTTTCTGTGTTCTCAGCTATACTATGCTAATGGAAAACCAGGAGACATTTGGACCTTGAACTAATGGCCTAGGAACCACTTCCTTCTTTATTGTTTTATTTCTTACCACCTATACTCCTTTGATTTGATCCCGTGATGGCCCCAGAAAACTTCATTACCAGGAAATTCATCACCCTGTGAGACTGCATCAGTTTTGCTATTCACGCCATATCAATACACTCAGTACTGCCCCACTGATTGGAGGACTGAGGGCAGAAGGAAGAACTCCCAATCCTCCATTTAAAGAAGCCCCTAGGCTAACCATCTTTTCATTTCCCACCAGCTGCATCCCTTTGGACTGGGTTCTATCATGACCTTACACCAGGGCACCTTCCCCTCTTTATCAGCTTCCTTTTCTGTGTTGTTTTCCCCCATTAGATTGTAAGCTCCTTGAGGGCAACGGCTATCTTCCTTTTTCATATATACGTCTCCAGTGCTTAGCACAGTGCCTGGTACATAGTAGGTACTTATTAAATGTTCACTGACTGACTGCCTCCTTTTTTATTATGCCTCTATTAACTCACACTGAGATTGCATTCATTTTTTCCAGCTACCAGCTGAGGCTGTTGCTTGAGCCTGAAGTTCCCTATGGCCTCCAGATCTTTTTCAGACTAATAGCTGTCTAGTAACTCCTCCTCCATCTTGAATTTGTAAAGCTGATTCTTTGACTCTAAGTGTAAAACTCAAAATTATTACTAATGAACTTTATCTTATTTTATTTAGCCCAATATTCTAGCCTGTCAAGAACTTTATGAACCCCGACTGTCATTCAGTGTGTTAGTATCTCTCCCAGCTTTGTGGAGTTGCTATGCATGTCATTTATGCCTTTATCTAAAACACTGAAGAAACTATTACACAGTACAGCACCAAGCATAGATAGATCCCTGAAGCACTGCACTGGAGATCTCTTCCAAACCAGCACTGGACCTGAAGGAATACTCCTTGAGATTGACCATTGAATTAGTTTTGAATTTACTGAAGTGTATCATCTAATACACACCTCTCCATTTTTTGCAAATAATTAGCATGAAAAATTTTGTCAAATACTTTGCTAAAACCTACATATGCAGCATTTGTCTGATCTGCCAATTGAGTAAGATGTGTGAGAGAGAGAGAGAGAGAGAGAGGGAGGGAGAGAGAGAGAGAGAGAGAGAGAGAGAGAGAGAGAGAGAGAGAGAGAGAGAGAGAGAAGGTTAGTTTGGAACAGGGTGAGGAATGTACAGCCTTGAGGTCACATGTCGCCTTCTAGGTCCTTGAGTGCTGCCTTTTGACTGAGTCCAAGTTTTACAGAACAAATCTTTTTATTAAGGGGATTTGCTTTGTGAAGTTCGGAATAATTTCTTCTTGATGAAATCATGTGAGCTCCTTCTAAGTATATTAGAATGCATACTTGAGAAAAGAATTCTCAAAGTTTACAGTGCCCATTTGTTAAAGTATTACATTGTAGAATTTGGCCAAGAATTGAAGTCAAGTTCAGTGGTTTCTTCTCATTTGGGGAAAACCAGCATATTTGCCTTTTTTGATTGTCCTTTACCTCTTCCTTTCTCCCCAACCTCTCAAACATCACTGACAGTGGCTCAGTGATGAAATTTTCAAGTTCTGCCAGTATGTAATTTATCTGGGCCAGTGTCTTGATCTCACTGGAGACAGCTTTCTTATAATCTTACTTATCTTGGCTATCAACTCCCTATTTTTATTCTGCCCTTTGTAGCCAAAAGATCCTTCTGCTTGGCAGAGAAAATAAGAGCAAAATAAGAGTTGAATAATTCCATCTTGCCTCTGTTGTAAGTTATCATTGTCACATCTATCCTGAACAGTTGTCTTATCTCTTCTTTGTCCCTCTTTTTGCTTCAATATACCTAAAACAAAATCCAGCCTTTTTGGGACCCTAAGTTTTTGTCACTAGCCTTACCTCATTCTGGCTACTCCTAACACTGTTCTTATGGGGTCATGTAATGCTTTTGTGTTCATCTTTCGTTATCTGTGCTTATTTTCATCTTCAGTACATATTCAAAGTTATAATTATGAAAATCATGGTTATTGGTTCCAGCCCAATGGAAATATTCCATTTGAATATGAATAATTGAACTCCAGGGGAATGCACTATTCACACTAATCAGGACTTAGCTATACATAGATTTAAAAAATCTAAACTGGTTGTTGAATTCCCCATGTATCCACATCAATTTCTTAAGGTATTTCTCCTTTCTTCCTCATTGGAATGACTTATTGTGTGTCTTCAGTTTCATTCTTGAGAGCCTCTTGTCCTTCCTGGACTTGAGGAGACTTAAGGACGTAAGGAGAAATGGGGAACTACAGGCACGTGTCAGCTAAAGCACAAGTGTGGACTTGGTCTGGGCTTTGGGCCTTCGGTTGCCTCGTCAGTTTTATTTCTTTGTTGAGTATTGTTGCTGTCGTTTAGTCATTTCAGAAGTGGCCGACTTCATGATCCCATTGGGTTTTCTTGGCAAAGATACTGAAGTGGTTTGCCATATCCTTCCTTATTTCTTTGCTGAATATCGTTGATGTTGTTCAGTTGTTTCAATCATGTTCAAGTCTTCATGACCCCATTTGTCATTTCCTTCTCCAGCTCATTTTACAGATGAG